TTTTTGCCACTGGGCTGGCTTCAAAACGCTTGATACCTCCCAACCTTCTGCCTCCAATGTAGTCTGAAATTATAGGGTGTGAGGCCACTATAACTGGCTCAACTTGTATTTTTACCTTGACAAATGAAAAAAACTGTTTTTCATTTGCTCCTCCTCAGTTATCCATGCGGAGGGTATGTGGTTCCGGACCCCCCTGCATAGACTCCAAAATCTGGTAGATCTTCAAAGTCCTCTGATTATGAGAATGACCAAATAGTATTCTGCGAAGACTTATGACAGTGTGTCAAATGTCATATATAGTCAATGTCAATGTCAAAATCACAAAAATGTCAATGGTGTGTAGATAGCTATTACATTGTATTTAGGAAATAATGACCAAGAAATACAGACCTAATTTATCTGGACATAGACAACATACTGTTATAAAATGTACGCAATGTGATATTGTGGGATGGCTAAGTCATGATTAACATATGCATTACCTATGTGTTTTTGCTTATGCACTTATCTCCTTTTTTGTTGCAAGTCAAATGCATGCTTATTAGGATTATGTGTAAAGCTTCTGGGTGGCTTACAACCACAAATACTATCACCTCTTGGCTCCTGATACCGACTGTGTGTAAAATAGGCAAGTATTACAGGTTTTGATTATGTTAAGTATTCAAGAAAATATTAAGCTTTAATATATATTCAATAGTTCAAAATAAAATTACTTTAAGAAAAAGCCTGAACTTACTAGCATATAAATTTGGAAGGGGAAGTAGAAAAGGGAAGTGAAGAAACCTGCCTAAGTGGTCTATAACCACAAACAGCTACCAAATTTACATATTATACCTCATGAAGAGTAGAGGTGAGCAGCTTCTGGGAAGAAAGGAACTGGCATTATCATGCATCTTGGGCAGTCTGCTACCATAGTAGGTGTTCAATTTCATTGTATCAGTGTTAAATGAGTACGGAGTTTCAGGTGGGAAGATGAAAAAGAATTCTAGAGATGGATGGTGTGATTGGTTACACAACAAATGAGTATATTTAATGCCAATGAGCTATATATTTAGCAATGGTTAAAATGGTAACATTTTATTTACCAAAACAAATATTATTGGCTGTGCTGATCAATCATGTCCTAATGATATCCCAATATAGACTTTTGACCCCACTCTATCCTTGGCCACTGTAATTATAGGACTCTCAAAGAAATAAAACTGTAATTAGGCTAGGCGTGGGTCTCAGGTGGTAGAGTGCTTGCCTGGCATGAGGTCCTGGGTTCCATCCCTTGCTACCACAGGAAAAAAAAAAGGAAAAGGAAAAGGAAAGAAATTCAACCACAGTGTTTCATAAAATGGATTTTTCCCAGTAAGAGGTTAAGATCGGTGAAATGTCGCACTCCAACCTTGGCTTAGCACGTTGATATTACCTTTTGCAGAGCAAGATCAACAAGGATCTAGAAGCATCTCTGAACTGCTCAGAGTTTTCCCCATGACGTTCCCAACCCATCCAAGCCTGCCAGCTCCAGCGAATACAAATCAGAGAGTGATCCTTGGCTAGATTGCTTATGGCGAGACAACTTAGGAGAGCAAACAAATAGAAACAGGCAGTGCATAAAGTGAGACGTCAAAACACAACCAGTTCAAGTTTTATGCCTGAAAAAGTAGGCTACCCATGGAACCACATCAGCGGTGCCATAGCACGCACAACAGTCTAAACTGATGGCAAGGGAAATCTGGAAAGTTTCTGATAAATCCAATGCAAATCTCATTTTGGAGAACAGCTACAGAATGCCCTGATTATTAACACAAACTCTTAACAAAATTACTTAAACAACTTAGATATGGAGCAGGGCATGAAGAACAGCTGGTTAGGCAATTTGGTACCAAGAATTCATGAATGCTTTGTCTCTCACGGACATGTCCTCCCAGACACCTCATGCCTCCAGCACTAAAAATTCTAAAACTCTTTGAAACAATACCCACTGAAAAGTTCAGGAAACAATCCAATAGTCTAGCAAACAAGTAAGAATTTCTATTTCAGTCACAAAGGATGTTCTTTCTTTTTGTGGAACTGGGGTTTGAACTCAGGGCTTCACACACTTGAAGCAGGTACTCTTAGTGCTTGGTACCACATCTCCAGTTCATTCTGCCATTCTGTGTGGTTATTTTGGAGATGGGATCTTGCAAACTATTTGCTTGGCTAGCCTCAAACTGTGATCCTCCTAATCTCAGCCTCTCAAGTAGCTAGGATTACAAACGTGAACCATCAGCGCCTGGTTAAGGATGTCTTTTTTAAAGCATACATTCAAAAAATACCCTTGAGATGGATTATTGCCTTCTTGACTTGCTTGACAGTATTGTTAACCTAAAACTGTTATTTCTATTTTCGACTCACAAGCTATAGATATAGGAATTAAGTCTTAATGGTCTGACAAAGAAATCAATGCCCACATTATAACCTGGTAGCCAGGGTGTTCTTGGAGGGCATCTGTTACTCCTGAAAGTAAAATGCAGAAGAATTTGACATGTACATTAATGAGTTCAAAATTCCCAACCTTTCACTAACTTCTCCATTTTCATGGGATCATAAGTCCAAGCGCATTTCAACTGACTTCACTATCTGATATACACTCTCTAGGAACCAAAAATGGAACTGAAAAATTTGAGCAACCTACTTACCCAAACTTGAAATATCATGTAGCACTTGAGTCAGAAGAAGAGCAGGTCAACCTTCAAGAGAGTCAAAAAGAGCATTATTACAAATAGTTAACCACATAAGCAAATTTATACAAATTTCTCCCTTTGGTAGGCTCACTGCAACTGAAATATGGCTGGGGGTGCAGTCAGTGTTAGATGCACTTGCCTAGCATGTGCAAGGCCCTGGTTCCATCCTCAGCACCAGAAAAAAAAAATGCTTATAAAACACTGCTTCCTAATAAAAAGATGACGGTCATCCCTTGGCACAGCAACTTGCACTCAATAGCTGTATTCCTGATAAAACCATGCCAAAGCATACAAATTCTGCTGTGAGTTTCTCTCGGGGTATGGAGGGGGGAGGGTCAAGGGATCCTAACACTGCAGTGAGATCCTGACCAGTCTGCTCACTTCCCTTCAATACTTTCCACATCAGAGAATGAAAGACAGTGATCCTGTTTGTCCACAGTAGACAAAGGTGGCAGGCCATTTGGTAATGAGGGTGCCATAAGTAGATGGTGAAGCTGAAGGACAGCACTCAAAAGTAGGGGTGGCTTCCTCCGCTGCAGAGTCCAGAATGAATGAGAAAAATGTGGCCATGAATAATGGCACCTGTTAATCACCAAGAAGGTACTGTGATTTCTGCCCTGTCTGGATTAATAGGGAGAACCCCGGTGCAAGAATACAGTAGCATTTATGACAGCTCAACTCATAAAAAGGATGTTTATTCATGGGATTAAGAAAATTATGATAATGGAAAGAAGAATCTACTTCAGCAATAAACCTGCACACTTTTTCATTTTCTAAAATTTCAGAATTTCTAAAATTTCAAGTAGCACAAGGAGTGGGAAACTATTGATGATATCCATTTATTCATTCAACAAGTGCACCACTTACTTCATTGTTCCTACTCAGAGAATTGAGGGGAAGTGAATTGAGAACCGAGTTTTCTTGAAACAGACGATTCCGGAGCTGCCGTAGTGTGACTGAAAGGTCTTCAAAAACAGAGTTTGCCTTCCCCACCATATACACTCTCTGCAAGAAGAACTCACAATCCTATGTTATGCGGTACACGTTCACCTCAACATAGACAGCTCTGACAGCACTCCTCATATAATTACTTTGCAATTTTCATTAAACAAGGAAAGCTTATTTTTTAAGCATCTTAAATAAAAACGTCATCACTTACTTCCTCGCTAGGAGCCAACTGCAAAACAACAGGAGTTTCTTCAGAAAACAAAGAGTGAATGGAATTTGCAACGCTGTCAAGACTAAAAGGAACTGCCTGAAATTTAAGAGTAAAATCACAATTATTTCCTGAAACAAAGTGGGAAGAAAAATCATTCCAATGGTATTAAGAAAGAAGCCTTAAGGAGAAAAAAAAAAGGCATCGGCATTTAAAAATTAAAATTATTAATGCATATTAATTATACATGTTAGTGGGTTTCACTGTGACATTTCATGCATGTATTGTGCTTTGGTAATACCATGTCCACCCTCCCTTCTTCTACCCTCTTTTGCCACCCCTTCTCTCCTCCTCCCCTCTCCCCTTGGTTCTCTTACCTTTCCCCAGTAGTCCCTCTACTACTTTCAGATCATTTTTTTTTCTTTTTTGGCAGTATACTGAAGTTAGGGTCTTGGAAGTGCTCTACCACTTGAGCCATACCCCCAGCCGTTTTTGCTTTAATTTGTTTTTCAGATAGGGTCTCGCATTTTCTCAGACCAAGATCCTCCTACCTCTGCTTCCCACACAGTGTGCACCGCCATGCTGATCCTCATCTTTTTTTAAAGTCCAGTACTCACAAATGAGGAAAACATGTGATTCTTGGCTCTCGGTATCTGGCGTGTTTCACTTAATCTCTAGTTACATGTATGTTTCTACAAGTGACATGATTTCATTCTTTATAGCTGAATAATACTCCACTGAGGCACTGGTGCATTTTCACAGACATTTAGAAGAACCAAATCATTTGCAAATACAAACAGCCCTTTTGAGGGCACAGGAGATGAAAGAGCACCATAGTGAGCTGAGTCTGCCTCTCAATGTGGCTAGATGAGAAACAACTTGCAAACATGAAGGGCACGGCACTATTAGGCACGAACCATTTCTGGTGGGCATATGAGTACTTTAAGCAGCATATGGTAGAATACACATTCATTGTGGCACAGTATTTGCTTGCACTTAGGAGGTTTAAGGCAATCTGAGGGACTGAATTTCATTGAAGATAAATAGATCTCGTTTTCCATTTTTAAAACTTAAAAAAGATGTTTAATAGGATTTAGTGTTCATCTTCAGATAAACTGAAGTCTCTTAGACAAGATATAAAGTATGTCAAAGGAATTTTAAAGTTTTTCGACCGGGGACATGGTTCATGTGGTAGAGCAATTGCCTAGGAAGTGCAGGGCCCTGAGTTCAAATAAAAAAGAAGAATCTTAAAGCTCTTATCTTAGGATTACATGATACTATTAGACTGAACTATCCACATGTGGTTAAGACTTACTTTATTTCAATTTTTATTCAAGTATAACATACACATAATATGTTACCCAGGATGTGGGATGGCAGCTCAACAAATGTTACAAACGGTTACACTCCCATAATCCAGCCAGATTAAGACCCAGAAGCACCCACTTCCCATTCATCCTCAACAGCAATCAAAATTTAGACTTCTATCCCCACAGATTTGTTTTGTTCTACATTATTTAAAAAAATAAATTATAGTAATTTTTCCCCTCAAATTATTTTATTTCCAATATTGCTGCATTTAAAAAAAGCAGTACAGTAATGTTTTCCTTTTAATGGATAGTGGTTTTTACCAGTAGTTCCCTTTACTACTTACAAGTTCATGTTTATAAGCAGCAAATTAATGCTAATATGGTACAGGCAGAAATCAACGTGATTATATAAATCTCACTGATGAAATCCCAGCATCGAAATTAAGCTTATCAATTTTATGATTCTGTGAAATGAAATCAATTTTTTCTTACTCAAAATGCCTATTTAACTCTTCCCAAAATTCTCTTAAACTGACTTAATGAGTAACTGAAGAGGAGAAAGAGCATACAAACTTGCAAAAACATACTGTAACCAGCCCCCCACCTCCTCAAGTCACTATAATTGCTTTCCTGTTACCATCACACAGTTCACCAGCTCAGGCTTGGCAGGAAAACATGTGACACAAACTCCCCATCCTCATTTCACCTAGTCAAATGGCACTCCAGTCAGGAAAGCTAAAGATTAAAGGTAACATGTCCCTAGCAATCAACTGGAGAAGCTAATATCAGATGACTGCCAGACTGGGAAGGAAAAGAAACAATTATACAGACTGCAAACCTCAAAAAATAAAAAGCTTGGCTGCTTACAATCTACTGACTGTTTTCTCCACCATAATATAAAGCTATGCATGTTCTATCCAGGATTTCTGTATCAATGACTTAAAACTCTAATTAAAAACTTAAACAGCTAACTAATCAAAAGCTTTGTTCGGTAGAAACCTAAGACATTCTGGTTTTTATATTTTGTAGGGTTTGCCCTCTGAGACTTTTCTTTCATTCCCCACTTTTTGTCAGGAAAACTATGAGTGGCCAGTCAGGATTAACTTCTCAAGTAAAATGAGACTAGCCTGTTTTAAAATGTTTAGTTTTGGATTTTATGTTAATAACAATCTTGAAACAGTATTTTGGATTTTTACATAAGTATTTTAAACTACAGAAATACTCCTGGTGAAAAGAATCTGCCTTTTGATTTTTTTTTTTTTAATGGTACTGGAGTTTGAACTCACGGCCTAAACCTTGAGCAACTCCACCAGCCCCTTTTCTTTGTGATGAGTTTTTTTGAGAACTAATTGCCTGGGCTGGCTTTGAACTGTGATCCTCCTGATCTCTGCCTCCTGAGTAGCTAGGATTATAGGCATGAGCCACGGCACCTGGCTTCACAGTTTTAATGTATGCATTTTAAAATTTCTTTGAGATTTGTCTATGATCTATACTTGCAGCAGGATAAAGCATTTGTCACACCTGCTTTCTCATGTTATTTGTTTTCTCTTTCAAGTACTTTTTAAATTGGACTCATTTTCAATTTTCAGCCAAAGGCATGCTGGCTGTGGAAGGATCCCTACAGGGTGGGTCATCTGTGTTTAGAATAAACCTCTCTACACCTGTAATTCCAATTTTTCTCAGGGGACCCTTTGGGTCCCACAGCCAAGGCAGCTCTATGGCAGCCCTGGACAGCTGGGATTTTACTAGTTCTCTTCTCATGAACAAGTGGACAATGTTTTATCGTCCCTTGCCTTCTGCAAGAGACAAAATTTCGTCATCAGTTCCTGCTTACCACCTTGGCCTGAGTTTTCTACTCCTATCTGGCATATGTGTGTATTTTTTTCTTGCTTTCCATGGAAATGGTTTTGCTCGTGAAAATGTTCCTATGACATTTTATCCAGCACTTCTCTATGTCTACAGTGGTAGGAGGGCATCTCACTTCTTCAGCTCCGTCACCCCCTTGTATGAAAGGCCAGTCAAAGAATAAGTGAGTCAGAAAACAGTTTTCTGTCTCAGAGGTAAAATTCTGAAGGGAAGGTGACAAGACAATGTCTCCAAAAATGACAGCAGGATATACTGTCAACTGGTTCTCTTTACTGAGCCACTGAGTATTCTGAGGGGGCAATTTCTCTACCCCTCATCTCAGAAAGCACTCTCATCTGTAGAGAATGGCGAAGTTTCAATGACTTTACAACCACCATGTCTTTTCTGTTGTTGTTTTAGTCATTTCTCAGATAGGATCTCGGTTTTCCCCTGGGTGGGCCTGGACTGTGATCCTACTTTCCAATTTCTCACAGCTGGAAAGATAGACATGCGTCAGCTTTTGTGTTGAGATGGGGGTCTCACTTTCTACCTGAGCTGGACTCAAAACACGATCCTCCTGATCTCCACCTCCGGTATGGCTGGGATTACAAGTGTGAACCACCATGCCCAGCCTCACCATGTAATTTTTTAAAAGAAACTGTCCTTTCAAAACAAACTGTGTTTTAGAGAAATTGTTCATCAAAAAAACCCAAAAGGATGTGTGCTTAGAATGCAATTCATAATGTATGCTGACAGAGAAAATTAAAAATGCATCCCTTTCATTTTTGTAAATAATACTCACATTCTCTAAAGGATAAGAGATGACACTTCCTGGAGGAAGAGCCAGCTTGTCTACTCCCTTTACCATCACCATAATGGTAGCCCGGGGCCGATGGAAAAGGTTACCCACCGCCAGTCCTGGCCAAGAAAGGTCCTAAATGTAGAAAATCACAAAACAGTGCTTAATTATCAACTTAGAAACCATCTCCCCAATAACATCGAATAAGCAGAGTTAAGGAGTTCTGAGATGACACTGGCTAGGAAAATTCAAAGGGAAAGTAAATGCTTTATTCAAGATAGCAGTTATAATCTGTTCATCAAGGATGCTGATTTCTACCTTCTTTGTTTTCTTAAAAGTCTATGGAGCTGAAACAAAATCTAACAGAGTCGTCCCAAAATGTTTGTGGAAAAGAGTAGGCAAGTAAACAAAACATAGTACTTTTCAAATTTCAGATTGCAAGATATTCTTTTTCACACAGCCATGGATATTTTCTTCCCGTATGTCATTTTTGCACTCCCGTACAGCCTCACTTTTATCCTTCACAATGACATAGCAAGACTGTCGTTAAATGTTCTCTTAAGATTAAGTACTTTATAAATAAAATCCCTGCTGAAAATGAGTCATATTAGTTTACTGATAATTATTTTTAAAGGTTATCTTTAACAGCCATTTGTAGTCAAATTTAAAGTTATAAAAAACTAGGTACAAATTTCATCTTTAAATGTAAAGCACCAATCATGTTCACTTTGGTTGCCCAGAGACTGCAAGCAGCTCAGGGGCTTCACCCTTAGGCTGAGCACCCAAGCAGTTCCTATGCAGAACTGCTGTTTTAAGAGTGCTCAAGATCTAGAAAGAAAATTTCCTTGGATGACTAATACTTAGAGACCACATCAAAAGCAACAAAGTGGAGGCGACAATGACAGCAAAACAGAGAAAAATGCATCTCCTTTCTCCTAAGCCCTTAGCATAAGATCTCTCTGACTGACTAGGTCTAGGCCCCTCCACTACAGTCTTGTCAGCAGCCAGTTACTACCAACGGTTATAGCTTCATTCAGGAAACCAAGGTCCTGGGTTAGCAAGTAGCCACATTATTTTCCTAACCTCAGACAGATGCAGAGACATTTTATCATTCAGAGCAAATCTATCACTTGTACTGAAAAAAAAATGATACAGCCTAGGAAGAGTTGGACACCTATAGTATGTATAAATTACTATGTGTCCATTAAAAACAAAAAAATTTAAAAAAAATTAAAGCTAAAAATAGGATACATTCTTTTATCTATAAAGAATTTCACTATGATGAATAAATAATTACATTATTAATGATTTATAAAGACTTTGGTTTCAGAAGCTAAGCCCTAAAGTACTTATCCAAAATCTCCCCAACTACAAATGAGCTTTTCAGCTTTTGTAATCTATAACATAAGTACCTATGTTTGCTGCATTCTTGGGCTATTAGACAAAATCAACATAAATTTTTGTTTTAAAATTTTTTATTGGACTATATGGATTATACACAGGGGTTTCATTGTGATATGTCTGTACATGCATACAATGTGCATGTACAAATTCACCCTAACAAACATGTTTTTGCAAGCAGTTTCAAACTTTAAAAACAATACACATACTTCTTTCACGGAGAAGCCCATGGACAGCGCAGCCACATCTGGGATTCGCTCTCCTGGTATAGGCCAGTTTCCATTCCGGAAGACAACAGACCCTGGTGATCTTAAGATGCTAAACTCACTCCCCAAAACACCTAAAAAGAAAATGGATTAGTGAATGAATACCAGCATATAAATCTTTTGCATACGCCTTGAAGATTAGTAAATGTAATATAGGTTTTCCCATTCTTCAATGGCTTAGCATACTAAGTTGTGATTAGGTAAAATGCTGAACCCGAAACATCAATAATTTTTTGAGGGGAGTACTAGGGATGGTACCCAGAACCTTGTGCATAAGCATACATGCTACCATAGATTTGAAACATCCCCCCCACCCCGCATCCCAGATTTGAACTACACCCCTAGCCGGATATTTTTTCAAATATTTTACAAATATCTTTTCAAAGTATCATTCTAAGAATTTAAGTTCAGTGATGGGGTGTGGCTCAAGTGGTAGAGCATCTGCCTAGCAAGGGCAAGGCCTGAGTTCAAACCCTAGCACAGAAAAAAAAAAATTAAGTCCCTATATTCTGCTGAAACAGAGGTACAACTACAAACAAGATCTGAGTGATGATCTAGACGCCTTCCTTTAGATAGTCCTTAAGAATGGCATGTGGTAATTTGGAATGAATTAGAAATCAGTGGCATTTCTCCAGAATTTAAAAACCAAAACCCAAAAGCTCTGGCATGGACTAAAAAGAAACATGAACTCTCTAAATTATTTCTACCATCAACCCTGTCTATAAAATGCAAATTGTTAAAGTTCCTAGTGTTTCATGCTAAGAATTTAGCAGGTCAGTATATCTTTAAGATAGAGCACATCTTTCCTTATACCCACAGGCAAATCTAGTGAAATGAGAATTGTCAAATGGTGGAGGGTGAGGGGCATATGTCACCAGTTGGAGTATGAACACTTCAGACTTCAGAAACAAAGTCCAGGAAACAGTATTTTCAGTTAATGCATCAGGAGGATGAAAAAAGGTATTCTATAATTACTGAAGTCAACTAGTCTAAGGGTATGGCATTGGATTAAAAGATGAAGATGAGAATAAAGAGACTAATTTATAAGCCCTCCAAGGCTAAGGATGGGTAGTTGCCTCTTCATTGCGTTTTTGTTTGTTCATTTTCTGTTGGGCTGGGGATGGAACCCAGGGCTTCAAGCATGCTAGACAAGTGCTTTACCAGTGAGCTACACTCCCAGCCTACTTATTATGTCTCACACAGCCTAATGGAAACTTTTGGGTTCCTATGAAAAGACTAGCTCCAAATCTAAAACAAATCTTGGCCATGCCCACTATGCGAAATGACTGACATGGGTGTCAGTCCCTTGACCTAAGGAAAGTAGTACTTACAAGGTATGGGAATAAAGTTGAAAGCAACAGTAAATATTTTGGTGTTACAGTATTGACAGTAAATAAAAGGCCTCAGGATGGTGCTGGCACATGGCCAATTCTGAGTTTCAATTTAGCACAGTGCAGAGTAGGAATTTCCAAACTGTTCTAGCCGAAGGCAGACAGACAAATAACAGAATGGAATGGTCATCTGTAATCAACAGACATCTTAGCTCACTCATTGTATTAACACTGCCCAGAGCCTTCAAGGCAAAATCCAAAACACAACACCCCAGGCACCTCAGCGGCATTATTTGCACTCTAAGGAAAACAGGCAGCAAGAGCCCTATTTTTTCCAAGTATAAGGAAAGATGTGATCAGCATTTAAGGACCCATGTGTCAATCTGGAGATACCTTTGTTTTGAGACATGGCCCTACTCCCTCAACCCCAGTGAGGCTATACTATGTAGCTTTGCCTCACCTTTGTTGTTAGATTCAACTACCCTGCCAGCACTTCACTCCTTCAGGAGCCAGGTACTTCAGAAACCTTAGTCATGGACACCTAAACAGAGAAACGTCATCTTGTCCAAACATCTGCCCATTGCAGGTATAACAGCACTGCTATGTCTGTCAGGAAGCTCCCTGTCCTTCAGTGCTACCTCTAAGTCAGCTCCTCTAAAGTCAGCTCCACTGTCCCAACTTCTAGTGCTTTGAAAAGGTTTTCCTTGTCCTGAACTAAAATAGGCTCCCTAGGCTTTCACTTTTCTATTCAGACTTACCACATGACCTGACTCTAGCTTCACAGAGGAAGTCAAGGATTCCTCAAACTGCCTGCCTCCTCTTCCCACCACAAGTTTATCTGCACAAGATCCTATCCAGACACAAGGGAAAGAATGTCCCCCTCCAGTCTAAGACAATCTTGTGTTCAGCCTTAGGGACCTTCATTCATTTGCCTATGAAATTGTTCATTTCGTGTTTGTTAAATCACTGTTCTGCAACAGACAACATTATCAGGAGAAAGGTGACTGACTATATGGTGATAGGCACAAAAAGATGTCCCTGTTCACAGTATCTCCAGGACCGAGAATGATGCCTGACACTGTGTGCTCAATAGATACTTGCTGAGTTAATGACTGAATGAAGTCACACTTGGAACTACCAATTTTCCTTTCTCAACCAGCTTTCACTTCAGCACAAAAACACACTCCAGATACCGCTGTGCTAAAATTACAACCACCAAACAACCCCCTTGTCCTACCAGTCTCCACTAGCTACCAGAGCCTGCTTCCCTTCAGAATAATAATCCTGGAAATTGTAGTCAACCAACATTTGCTTCTTTCCTTCTCCATCTTATGTTGACTATCTAACCCACAGCTTCTGCCCCCACTACACCACCTACACAGCTCACCAAATCCCAAACACAATTTTCAGCCTGTAACTTCCTGAAGCATATGATACTAGCAACTTCCTCCTTGAAAATCCCCTACCTTGGTGTTCATGAAGCCTGATTTTCCTTCCAACCCTTCTGGCTGCTTCTCCTTAGTTTTTCTCTTCCTGTCTTTAGAGCTCTGATGCCCAAACGTTTTAGATTTCAACTCGACACAAAAATAGGAAGTTGTATCTACATATAGGTATAGATATATATGTATATCTAAGCAAAGTAGGTGAGGTGAGGCACCTGGTGTGTAAAAGAAAAAGTAGTGCATATATATATGTATATAGAAAGGAGACCATATCTATTTTACAGACATATACAGATATAGATATGGGTATATAGATATCTAGGCATATAGACATGTACACTTATAGTATGATAATAGGCTATAAATTTGAATATTACAAAGCATACATAATTTTTTTTCTCTTATCATTTTTGCATTTACTTACATGTATATACACTGTTCCACCTCCCCCCAACCCCCTAAATAAAAATGTTTAATAAGGATGAGATACTTGTGCAGTATTCTTTCCACTCTAAACATGATATCACATCAGACAAACCCAAATTGAGGGACCTTCTACAAAGCATCTAGTGAGATTTTCCAAACAGAACAATGGAAGTTCGTACACTCCTAGCATCCAAATGGATTCCCTAGCATACTTCACTTTGGAGGTTTGCGGGCTCCATTCTTGCCCCTCACTACTTTCCTATTCTACATCACTCTCCCTGGCTGTGCCCATCTACTCCTAATGTTGCCAACACGAAAAACATACTGCGACGGCGCTCAGATTTGCATTTCCAGCCTAGATCTCCCTGGAGCCTTAGACCTACATACTCAACAGTTTGCTGACACTTCCTTCTAAGGCCTACCAGCCCTTCAAATTCGACAGGTTCAAAACTGGATTCACCATCCTTCCACATGCTTCTCTTGCATTCTGTCTTCAAGGGTGATGCCACCTTCCACCCAGCTGCTTGACTGAGTCCCTTTAAATCCTCTGTAACTCAACAGCTAATTAACCATTGCATTCTGTTGATCTCTTTTTCTTGTCTCCTGAATCCTGTCCCTTCCATGTCCCTCAAGGTTTGCAAGGGCTGGCTGCCTCGGACCCTGCAATGCCACTCTCCGATCCACCTTTCTTATCACTTTCTTAAAATACAGATCTTTTCCCCTCACCCCTCTGCTTAAATGCCTTCACCCACTGCCCAGAGCCTTCAAGGCAAATCCAAACCACAACAGGCACCTCCCCAGCATTATTTCTGGGATCTCCCCAACCTACCCCGGACACATTCTGGCCCCAATGAACTGTTTGCTCTTTTGCTGGCACATCTCTAAGCTTTTATGCACGTTGTTGTACCTAAAATGCCTTTTCTTCCCACCCCAATCTTTCACATATTTTCCCTGTGAGGCAACCTCCCCTGGGGAAATTTCCCTCAGCCTCCCCAGTCTGGGATAGAGGGCAAATGTTCTTCCCTCTCAGAACATGTTATACTGTGCTGTGACCTTTAATGAATGGTGGAAGGAGTCAACCACCTTAAAAAACATGGGTCCTACTTTTGTCTTCCCCCCAAAAAAAGCATCAACGCCTTCTTCTACATGACATCCCTTTGAATTTCATGTATTTGCCCTTGGCTCTTCCTCTCCAGGTTAAACAACTGAATGTATTTCAAATACTCCTGAGGTCATGGTATTCACAACCCTAGTTCCCTCTAGTTCAGTACCACTGTTTCAAAATATTTTAATTTTTTTCTCAAATAGAGAACTCAGAGCACTTAAAGATGTTTTCCATTAAATCACACTTAGTCATTATGGAAAATAATAATTTAACCTCATCTGACAAGACTCAGCAAAGCAGAAGCTCAGATTCATGTCTGTATGAACTAGACCATTCTAGCAAGGAAAGCATGTTCAAACCATGTATAGATACAATTATTTTATCTCAGACCAAACCAAAAAACTCAAACCTCATTGATGCAAATTAATGTCAGCCATAAATTAAAACATGGACTTTCACCAGATGTTCAGTTAAACCACAGTATCAAAGGGAAGATTTTTTTTTAATTTCAAAAAATAGAAGTGAAAAAAAAATTCCCCAAAGTATCTTACTAGATAACTCAGAATGACCTTTGCAGAACCAGTAACAGAAATGAAAGAAACAAAAAAACCCTAAAACTTTGAGTATGAAAATAAATTTAACTGTCAACGCAGAACATTGTGTTGGTACATACGAGAGATGAAGATTTCAAGAACATCACTGGTCTATACCTCATGCAGAATTAAACAGCCATTCCAAAAGTGCGACTTCCCAGCACCTCACATGGCACAGGCACAGGCCTCCCATTGGTTTTAAATGGACAGTGGGAACCAGACTATCCATCCTTCCAAGTTGTTCTCAACTTGGCCTCTCGTTCCTAGTCTGCACTCCCTGTCTCAGTAGCCTCCATCACTCCCACATTCTCACACAGTAGCGTTACCTCTGCCACAACACATATTAAGGAAAAAGCCCAAGCTTTGGAGCCAGCTGATCTGAGTTCAAATCCAGCTTTGCTCATTACTACCTGAGTGATACTGGGTAATTTACTTAGGCTTGCTCATTCTGCAAAAGGAAGATGATGCTTTCTTTTCAGGATTGCTGTAAAATGAAATGCATTACTGCATGATACACAAAGTGAAGCCAAGAATCAGCTGACTTCCACTCCCCTCGCTCAATGCTAGAAACCTGCCACTTATTTGACATGTGACCCTAAGGACGTGACTCACATTCTCGTTTCCAAATCCTTAGTATTGGAAACTACTGAGAGTTGCTTTGTACTCACCTGAAGAAATAATCATATAAAAGCAATGCTTCCATCCCAACTTTTGCATCCTGAACACATATGAGAAAAGATTTTGCCATTAATGATGGTCAGTAGATAGGAAGACATTACAAGAATGGGGGGTGAGAAAAGGCGGCCGCCGGTGGCAGCTAAGAATTCGGTCTTCCCTTCCTCATAGAGCGCCGCTGTTCAACAGCTGAGAAATGTTTCCCTATCCAGGGCAAGAGCCTCCTGAGGCGGAAGAAGAGGCCGGACAGACAGGAGGTCGGAGGCAAGGAGGACGGACGCGCCTTCCTCAACAAGGCGGAGACAAGCTCGGGAGCTCCCCACGTAGCGATGCCCCGGCCCGGCCCTGGAGGCCCACAGGCCGCACCGCCACAGGCGGATCCCGGGGAAGAGCCCAGAGGCAGGCGGCTGAGGCTAAGCGGCTCCGGGCTGCCCACACCGCAGCAACACCCGCCCCGTGGCCGCCCGGGATCCCCGAGGCCTGCGGTGCAGGGTCTCCGGAGCAAGCCCCGCCCGCCTCGGCTCCTCACCTGCCACCAACAAGGACAGGAGCACGACGAACACAGCCATCGTGCCGCCGCGGCTGCAGCAAGACAGGACTACACTGAGAGGGCCGGCGGAGCACGAGCGACCACTGCAGCGTGACGGGGTGACGCGCTCGGGTTCGTTCCGACTCCCAGAGCCCGCCCCTTCGTTGCGCCAGGACGGCTGCCGCTTTCTTAACCAATCGGCAGCTGCGCCGCGCGTTACGGGAGAGACGTAGCCTGGGAAACGTCAGCCTTTGGGGCGGGGCACAAAGTAATGGATGGAATTCCCTGCCAATAGTAGTCAAGGATTGAAGAGCCAGGCAGTCCCGCCCCCAGCCCAAGATGACCGGTCACGAGATGAAGGGTAGGGCAAGTCGTCAGACTTGAGCGTCGGAGCTGGTCTAGGGTCCCGAGAGCCCTCCGAGTTAGACTGCCTCCGGAGTGCGGATCCTTTGTCCAGTGTCTGGTAACGGTCTCCAATACGGGTGTCTGTTTTTCCAGGTCGTGCGCCTCCGCCCCGTTACAAATGCTAGCTACGGAAACTGCAGGGCTAGGTCTGGTTCCGCTTAAATAAGTACACAGATGTTGAGCACCTGCAGTGAGGAAGCCAGGAGCCTCGGGGAATCCCTGCTCTCCCAGTAGGGGTGCTAGGTAAAGTACAGGACTCACACTTAAATTTGAATTTTAGATACATAATAATTTTAGTATGTCTCCAATATTTTATGGAACACATACTAAGGTAAGTATTCGTTTATCTGAAAGTCAAATATAACTGGTCATCCTGTACTTTGATTTGCTATATCTAACAACCCTCCCTCCAAACACTGCGATCCACAAGGAGTGATGCGACAGAACATGAATTACTTCATGTGTTCCTCAGGTTCCAATCTGGTCAAGGTGTTCCGTGAGGGTATGTGAGGGCTGGACCTACTAATTAGACTAGGATTCTCCTCCCACCTCAAAGTCTTGCAAGAGAGGCAAGAAGTGACACCATGCAGCATCTGTGGTTAGAAAATGATGACCTGGAAAGATGGGTATTATTTCAATATGCAAAGGGATGAGGTGGGGAGATTCTTCCAGACAGGAAAAACTGAAGAATGTCAGGGAGAAAGCCCCCCTGAGGTTGAGCACTAACTGTTTAGTTTGATAAAAGAAGAGATTTTACAGCAGAGGGGGACACATAGAGCTAAAACTTTTAAAGTTATGGACATATTTCTTAAGGATCTGGAACTGTACACAAAAAAGCTACATATCATTTGGTAGGAAAGGATTCCTTAGGAAATGGGCTATTGAAGGTGGTGGAGCATTGTTCAGTGCACAAATGTTAAAACAGACTTGTTAAAGGAAAAAATGTCTGATTGCTTCCTCAGTTCACAGCCTCCATTTTCTTTTTGAAATTAACTGAGGGAGGAAAAAAAAGACAGTGGGTTGAAAGCAGTGACCCCAGGAGTTCCCTGAGCAACACACCCACTGGTGAAAAAACTTATGCAACTGAAAACTGGAATCAGAAAAACACTCCCCAGATACTCCCTTTGCACTTTATAGAACCTACTCTGCTTATGAAAGCTATTCTCAGTTTAGAGAGTAGAGTCTGGATTTCCTCACCCAACCTTGGGAAAACTCTCAAATTTGCATTTTTTCCAGTTGTGAATCTGCGCAAATGTGATTTTAAAGAAATCTGAAAGGGGGAAGGGATATTTTCCCATCGGGAATGTGAAATTATTATATAGAAGCAAAATGTCTAAAGCAGCTAATTTCCAAAACGTCAATTCTATCATGACTAGTTTGAAAACAAATTAATCATTAAAAAATCATTTTAGGCATGATGAATTTACTCCTTTGCACACCAACTAAAATTTCATTCTTTGTCCATCTTGCTGCATATCCTAGACCAGTTTTGAACCAGAGGCCTGCAAGAGTTTATCTAAAGTACCTTTATTTAGGGACATACTCTGGTAAAAGTGGAGCAGAGCTACAAGCCCATCCAGCCTAAAGAAACAGGGAAGGAGTGACTTAAAAGAACACTTAAAAGTATTCTTAAAAGGGTTCTAGGACATTCTTGTTTCTTTTAAATTGAGGAATAGCAAAAACGTTACAAGTGGACTTGAATATAAAATACCCACACACACACAGATTGTAATCCTCACAATATTTCAAACTCTGTTTATGGCTTGAGAAATAATATCCTCGTTTTGGCTAAGGGCAAACAGCTTATCCTTTACATCAAAGATGCCTTTTCAGTTGAGGTCTCAAAGGGATATAGCTACTTCTTATATCCTTGGAATTCATCAAGATAAACACTGTAGGAAGCCATCTCCTTGTTGCACAGATTATGACATTGAAAACTAAGGAAGTTCATATGTCCTCAAGGTCACACTGTGAATTGTCAGCAGTTCTGCTTTATGAACACAGCCCTTCTGATTCAGTCTTTAGTGCTCCATAAACAACTGGTGATGTGCAGTTAACATTTCCATTAAGCATTTACAGGTGGATGTGTATGTGTGGCAGGATAATATTTGCACTAATGACCTATTTGGTAGCTGATAGGAAGCCTTCCTCCCCATCAACATACCCCTCTCCTTAAGCCAAATAGCCAAGACTCCAGTCCTCCATTGTCCTGAGGAGAGAACTCTCAGAGGAGAAACAAAAAAGAAGAGTTTCAAACCTGGAGGTTTACATGTATGATTTGAAAGAATGCACAATTCTCTTGGCTTCCCTAACACTGCCCCCTCCCTCCCAATTAGTTCTAGCAGTGAGTTTTGAGAGATCCAGAGTGAGCTTGGTGAGGTGGCCTGGTCTCTGTAAATCACCCATCTCTGGGAGCCTTGTAGAGACCAAGGTCAAGATTGTGCTATCCCCCCAAGACCTTGAAGCCCCCACTCAGTTATTAATATTATTTACTTGCAGTGCTGGAAATGGAACCCAGAGTCTCCTGCATGCTAAACAAGTACTCTGACACTGAGCTACACCCCCAGCCTTCAATTAAAATTAAGAATTTCTGTTTTGGAAAGGTGAGGAAGGGAGAGGAGAGTAGTTTTACAATGCAGAAATCAGACAAACCCTACATCAACCAGACAGTCAAGGTCAACATCAGCAGTGATAAACCATGTTGACAGTAGGTACCCTTGATATGATGTAATGAACATGGGACTTCACTTATATGATAGTCCTCCATAACCCATGACCCCTGTCTAATCATGAGAAACACAGCAGACGAATTCCAATAGATGAGCATTCTACAAAACACCTAATCACTACTCCTGGAAAATGTCAAAATGACCAAAAAAAAAAAAATAAGGCAAGTCTGAGAAACTGTCACCGCCATGAGGCACCTAGGAAGATATGGTGACTAAATGTAATGAGGTGTCCTGGATGGGATCCTGCAACAGAAAAAGGAAGTGTGAATACAGTATGGACTTAAGTTAATAATGGAGGATCAATATTGGTTCATTAATTGTGACAAATGGGCTATGCTGATGTCAACAACAGGGAAAACGGTGTGAGGTACGTGGCAAATCTCTGTACTACAGTTTGTGAATGTCAAACTGTTGGTTAAAAAAGACACCACAAACTAAGTGAAAATACAGCCACAAAAAGGAGAAAGGTGAGTTGTATCCAGAATATCTGAAGCACTCCTACAACTTAATTTAAAAAAAAAAAGACAACCTGATAGAAAAAATGGGCAACAGACTTGTACAGTCATTTTACAAAGGAGGAGATTCAAATGTCAGCTAATAAATATAGAAAAAGATGTTCAACCTCATTATTAGGGAAATGCAAATCTGAAACCATGAGATAACCACAACACACCACAAGGTTGGCAAACATTAAGAAGTCTGACCATGCCAAGCCCTTTGATTCACGCCTGTAATCCTAGCTACTCAGGAGGCAGACATCAGGAGGATCACGGTTTGAAGCCAGACTGGGCCAATAGTTTTTGAGACCCTATCTCGAAAATACCCAACACAAAAATAGGGCTGGCAGGGTGGTTCAAAGCGGTAAGTTTCCCTGCCTAGCAAGTGTGTAGCTCTGAGTTCAAATCCCAGTGCTACCAAAAAATAAAAAAGTCTGACCATGCCAAGGGTAGGCAAAGACTGTGAGTCAACAGAAACTCTCATGTCAGGCTAGTAGGAGTATAAATTGGTCCAGTGATATCAGAGAATATTGCCTAATCTATTAACGTTGAAGATACCCATATCCCATGACTCATCAGTTCACCTTATTGGAATAAATGCTACAGTAATAAGCACGTATGTGTGCCAGAATACGTGTATAAGAATGCTCCTAATGGGCACGCCTGTAATCCTATCTATTCAGGAGGAAGAGATCAGGAGGATCGAGGTTCGAAGCCAGCCTGGGGCAAATGGTTCATGAGACCCTATCTTGGAAAAAACCCATCACGCACACAAAAAAAGGGGGCTGGTGGAGTAGCTCAATGTGTAGGTCCTGAGTTCAAACCCCAGCACTGCAAAAAAAAAAAATTGCTCCTAACAGCCCCAAACTGGAAGCAATTTAAATGTTCATTAACAGTAGGATGGGTAATAAATTGTGATATATTTCATATAATGCAATACTATACTACAAGGAAAATGAATAAACATAACTATTACAAAATTATGTGTAATATAACATAAATAAGAAGCAAACTGTACAATTCTACTTATAGGAAGTTCCAGAACAGACCAGAAAAACCCCCATATTGTTTAAGAATGAAGTATATGTGCAAAAATATAAGGAAATGCAAGAAGGGGCTAGGAGTATAGCTCAGTGATACAGCAATTGTCTAGCATGTGTGAGGCCCTGGGTTCCATCTCCAGCAACAGAAAAAAAGCATGAGAAGGCACACTTCCCTTTTACTTGGTAGGATATATTTGTATGTGTTTTCAATTTATGTTTGGAGAATCTGGTGTTTACAAAACATGCCTTCAGTGAGTATGGACATTTCTAAAGAAAGGCCTCTTGTGGCTGCCATGCTAACAACTGTCATCCAAGATATCTCAGGGCATTCACCACCAGACAGAAGCCAGTCCTCAGCCTTCCAGCCTGAGAACCCCAGTTCTGCCAGCAGCCCAGAGTAACATTGCTGTCCTAGCTGGTGACATTGACCCAAAATAAGAAACTTATAAGACCTGTTAATTTACAAT